GCAACAACATTAACAGGAACCATTTGAACCTCTTCTACTGGTTGCTTTCGTTATTGAGCTTGATCAATTTCTTAGTTTATTTGTTTGTTGCTAGAAGGTACAAGTACAGACCTCAAATTAGCAGTCCCTAGTTGGAACAATAAGGAGAGGATTAAGTGTTATGGTTAATCCATTATGTTTGTTTTCCTTCATTTAATTACATCAGTTTGGTCATGATTCAGAAAGTGTAATATTTACTGCAACTAATGTAATTGTTTCTCATATTAAAGGAATTTGGTTGTAAAAAAACATATTTGTACTAGGTAAGGGAGTTGCTACACAATTACAAGTGTCTATGAAACTAAAATTTAAAAAGAAATTAATGCTATTCATCCTAAATTTTATCCGAAACCTTACATCTAAAATGATATGTTATATACATATATTATCGGTTGGGTAAGAACTCCAATGGTTAAGAGATTTAACGAATACCTTTATTAGTAGTCGTGGGAATTCAAACTTGAAAGACCATGTTAAATTATATGAACTTATAAGGCCAAGTTAAATCTTCTTTTTGTTTTATCATCAAAGATTCAAACTTAAGAGATCATATTAGATATTTCTTTACTCTTTTATTATCAAACTATCCAATAATAAATAAACGGTAACGTATAATTTATCATACCAAATCTTTGTTTATAGATTAAAGTTATGAAACATACTATACCATTTAGAGGAAGAAGTAATATAACCCGTTACATCATTTGGGATGAGAATTTCGAAATTCAGTTGAAGTCACTGTAATTAGTGGAAGTTGTACCTACAAAATAGCAAACATGGTTATCATCTAAACAAAGTCCAAGGGTACTCAACTCTCCTCCATTTGTCCACTCATCTCACCATTCTCCGCCACCTCATTCCCCATGCATGTCTACGTGCTCTCCCTTTAACCCACCATGTTCCTTCTCTTTCTCTCTATAAACAACTCCATCCTCTTAACAAAACTAACCAACAATTAACTCTGCAGTTTCCATGGCCTCCAGTGACAAGTCCCCGGAACCAACACCGCCCTACGGAGAGCAGCAGCCACCGGGGGCTCCGATGACGATGTATCAGCACTTGCTGGACAAAGGCGCTCAGATGATGCAGTCTTTGAAGCCCATAAAACAGATGAACCAGCATGTGTGCACCTTTGCTTTATATAGCCACGACATGTCTCGCCAGATTGAGACTCACCACTATGTCACCAGACTAAACCAGGACTTCCTCCAGTGCGCTGTTTATGACACTGATGACTCCTCCGGCCGACTCATTGGTAACTAAATTTTACAAATTAATTCTATTTATTTATTTATTTTTATTTGTACATCTCGAAGGTTGATCTTGTTAGAGAATGTTCTGTACAGGAGTGGAGTACATAGTTTCAGATAAGATTTTTGAAGCTTTGCCACCGGAAGAGCAGAAGCTTTGGCACTCTCATGCTTATGAGGTTTTTACTATACTATATATATAATTTTGTAATTTCTTGAGTTTTAATGTAAATGGTGGTTAATCATGAAATTATTGGATGATCTAGATAAAATCAGGCCTCTGGGTTAATCCTCGAGTTCCAGAAATGATAGTGAAACCAGATCTCGAAAATTTGACCAAAATTACGGCAAGTTTTGGTGTACATGGCAGGTGGATAGAGGGAATTAAATGAATATTCACATATAAAGCATGTATATTTGAGGTATTAATTACGTAATGGGTGTGTGCGTGTTAATAATACAATAATAAAAGTGAAGGTGATAAGCTTCCATGGAGCACCGGCACTGATGATGTCCCCAAGGAGTAACTTGGGGATGGTGGATCGGGACTAGTTCAGAAAAGGGATAACCGTACAACATATCAACTGAAGCAATGAAGAGTTCAAGGGTGGAGATTGAAGAACCAGAGTGGATCAATCCACAAGCTGACTACTGAAGCAGCATGGCAAGGGTTTTGCCATCGATATGAGCGGACTCAAATGAAAAAAAGGCTCCCTTCCCATAATATTCATATAATAATGTAATCTTCTTTATGTTGTGTTTTGTGGATCTAGCTATAATACATAAATGTACTAGACATGGTACGCTGTCGTTTTTAATGTATCTGTTCAACTGACTCCTTTTATCACTTTGTGTCTCAAATCTTTCCTGTTAATTTATTTCTCAGGATGTTTCTGTTGATGCGAGATTTGGGGCACCACTAATCAAACGTGGGCAGCGTTGATTGATTAAAAAGCACACGTGCAAATGAATATATAAAGAGAAATAAGCTATAGAACTTTTAAAGTGGTTGGATGCTAGGTAGCAAGTCTACGTCCATGATTTGTATTGATAGTGAATGTGGGTCAGGTCGTAACAGCGGACTGACTTACAGAGGTTTAGAAAAAGTAATGAATTGTTCACAGGAGAGAGAGTGATTTTTGGTAAAAATGGTCGACCCCTAATGAAGGGGTCTTCTTTTCTTATATCAAGCTAAAGCGTGTAATCATCATTAAATCCTTGGGTTGGTGTGATTGTTAGGATTAATCCGGCTTTATGTCCCATCACCTTCTTCCCAAGCTGACTTAGCATGGTTTACAGCATGGAAATGGACGCGTGGGAGCTCCATATCGTTTGGCAGGCCTGACGTGTGTTTGATGTTTGACGGGAGCAGGTCATCCTCCACGTGACCCTCCCACGTCAGCCCTTACTTTCCCAGGCATAACAGTTTCTATTTTTTAGACATATTGTTAGCTGTTTAATTCCATTGAAGTGGCAAATAATTAATACACATTCGATTATTGATATGGATATCTGTTTGATTGTACGCGAGAAGCATAATTCAATTGAAATTTCAATTGACAAAGTGAAAATAAAAAATACGATTTCCAAGAAGGTTCTCCCAGGCACTGACACCCTCATATTACTTTTGGGGGTTTTATTGTTAGTTTTGAAACCTGTAGGGGTTAACAGAAATAGGGGGTTCTAAAAAATTTCGAAGCGGTATCACAACATGTCACGTACACATATAAACTTTTTGAGTAATACTAGCCTTACAAAGAGGCATATAAAAAGACAAATCCAGCCCTTAAAATTTATAATTGCCTCTCCCTCTCTCTTTTTCCCTTCTTTTAAGGGCTGAATTTGTCTTTTTGTATGTCTCTTTCCAAGGCTAGTATTACTCAAACTTTTTTCCTTTTGAAAATAGTTAACAACTTTTTTCCACCATAAAAAGGCTAATGGACACTTTCCTCCTCAAACTTCTAGTATTTAAACCCGAAACAAAATTTTGTTAGTAATTTTCATTGTGAGGAAGGGTAAGATGGTCAAAAGTTCCTACCGAAGAAGAAGAAAGGAAAAATGACGACGCATGTTAATAAGAAATGGCACACGTTAGCAGCGTCATAGCCGACAGTTTTCATCGTTTTCTGGCCAATCCTAACATTCAAAATCACTTCCAAGACTACCCATAAAATCCTCATTACCTCCTCTGCAAGCCCAAGCCTCCATTTGCCATCAGCACTCACCATTTCCAACCACCACCTCCATTCGCACAGTTGAATCTTTAAGCTAGATTTCTGGTTGATTTTTTTGCCAGAAATTCCCCTAAACACCACCATCACACTCCCCACAACTCACTCTACAAAACCCTTACCTCCATCACCATCCCTTACTCGCTGATCACTGACCATGCACCACATGACCTTTCAACTTCCAAGCCGATTGTCGATCATTTTTGGTGTCGGAAATCTACCATGAAACCACCACCAAAATCCCCATCCTCCCCTCTCCAAAACCCCTAACAGCCTTGACCCTATTTGCTCGCCGATCACCACCATCCTCTTCCTAGGGTTTTGGTTGCATGATGAACTTGGGGTGTGTTTGATTGATGAAATTAAGCAAAATCGGAGGTTGATTTGCCAATTGCATGTCATTCGCCATTCTCTATCACCTAGAGTTTCACTATTCGTCGTTCATCGTTTTTCACAGTGTCAATGGCGAGAAAGTAGTATTTTCGTTTTCACAATGAAAATTATTGTATTTTCTACCCTAACAAGAGAGAAACATAATATTTAGTAGGGGTGTTCAAAAGAACCGATTGGAACCGGAATCGGCGGGTGCTCGACGTTTGGTTCCAGTTCCTACCCGGAATTGGATGTCAATGGGTAGGTTCTGGTTCCAAATTCTTGAAACTGTTACTGTGCGGTTTCAGTTTCGATTCCTATAGTTAGGAACCGGGAACCGAGACTAAAGAGTAGGAGGGTTAATAAAAACTTTTATAGAAAAAATAATGTGAATACATTTATATTTATATTTCATAACATTTAAAGTTAGTTTGACTTTTGAGAATCTATTTTTACAAAGTAATGGAGTTTGTGATTTTGAATTTATAATTTGTAATTTTATTTTTGTTAACAAGTGCCGGGGGGGGGGGTGATATTGGTAAGTTTTTAAGAGTTTTTTTGCCATTTTAAAAACTTTTGGGGGTCATGTAATTTTATAGAATACCTAGAATTGGAATCAGAACCATTGTTACAGGTTTCAGTTCTGGGTACCTAGGAACCGGAACCGTCGGTTCTGGTTTCGATTCTAAATTTTAAGGAACTGTCGGTTCCGGTTCCTTCAAAAAATGTAGGGTACCTAGAACTGAATATCCCTAATAATTAGACACTAAAGTGGTATTTTAAAAGTAAAAGGGTGAGAAATTGCTTTAAGCTTTTTTTTGGGTGGGAAAAAATCTAACTCTTGAAAAATAAGCAAATAAATCCGACTCCCATTTTTTAATTTCTCGGCGATGTAATCTTTTACTAGATCTTCCAGATGGACGATCAAGATCATGTCTACACATTAAACACCCGAGTCCCGACATCTCTATAACAATCGCTTAAAATTCCTCCACGTCTTCAGCATATTCTTTATGCCCCTTTCCATGTGCCATCGTCTTCACGGCTCCCGTTGCCATTTTTAAACGCCTCGAAAAAGCTCACGCCTCCTCAACAACTCCTTCAAAATTCGTTTTTTAATCTATTTTCTGAATTATTTAAACGAAATAAAAAATGGGTTCATCTCAATTTGTCCGTTATTGCAGTCTCATGAATGTTCTCAGATCTTTTCTTCATTAGATTCCTAGCATTTCTGGGTGTTCTCGGCTTCTCTCTCTTCGTTTTCTCAATCACCATGGATGTTCCCACAACTACCGTCGCATCAGACGAATCTCAGAAGAATGATTATTCGGTGTGGGCGGCTCCGCCGGAGGATGTGATACCGAGAATCAAGAAGTTGATGGAGGGTCTACGATCCGAGTTCGGCGGGCCCCAGTTCGAGCCGCATATGACTGTCGTTGGGTTGGTCAGTCTGACGAAGGATGATGCGTTGGCCAAGTTTAAAGCAGCTTGCGATGGGCTCAAGACTTATAATTGTAGTGTGGATCGTGTGGCCACTGTGACTTTCTTTTACCGTGTGTTTATTTGCTCATTCATCCAACGACTGAGGTAATCTCCCCCCCCCCCCCCCCCCCCCCCCCTTTTTTTTTTTTTTTTTTTTTGTAGTGTTTATGCCAAGTCAATTGAATAATTTATTAACTATAATTGGGATTTTGTTTTCAGGTGGTGGAAGCTAGTGCAAAGTCCAGTAGCACTTTTGGGTTCAAGTCCTCTACACGTAAGATGTTTACCCTTTTGCATTTGTTTAAAGCTTTTTCTTTTGCCCATTAGGTGAAAGAAACATCCAAATTGTCATTCTACACAAAACTTCGTATAAATGCTAAAAGAAGAAAGAGGGGGGGTGGGGTGGGGGGGAGGGACTGTTTGTATTGTGGAAGTTTAGGAAAAGCTGATAATTCATCTGTTTAGGAAATAGTACATATATGCTGGGGACAGCTAGTTATAATTTCTTAAAAGTCATAACATGTATGAATGACATGCTATATGTTAACCAAAATGATGTTGTGGATAAGCTGAACATGTTATTTCTGATGGCGTTAATGGGATTTTGCTCCTGTAAAGGACATTTTTATCTTTAATTATGATACTCGATCTTGATTAGCTGAATCCTCTTCTTCCATTCTACCCTATCTAGAATCATTCGTTCTTTCTATTTTATCTGGCAAATCCTATTTTCAGTAATTCTACTGGCATAAGTTCTCCACCACAAGCTTCTGTATTTCATAAATGTTCAAGATTGTATCTAATTGTTAACTTCTTGCCCATCACTTCACTTCATGCCCCGTGTACCTTAAAGATGAACCCTTTTATTACTTGATGTGGCATTTATGAAATGTTATCTACTACTTCTTGGATCTATGTTACTTGCTGAGATCATTTAACTACAATTTTGTTTCTTAAGGTTAACCTTTCAATTTTAAATTTTTGAAACTCTAATACATGCTTTTATTCTGGAATGAGTAATTGTGTTTTAATAATGAAAGCCTTGCATAATCTTGCAGCTTACATGCCGCATATAAGCCTGCTTTATGGGGACCTGACGGACGAAGAGAAGAAAAAAGCTCAAGAAAAAGCTTACTCTCTTGATGAGAGCATCGACCAACTAAGCTTCCCAATTACTCGCCTTCAATTGTGGAAAACACCCACTTCGGATAACACTCTCACATCTTGGGAGAAGATTGCTGAATACAATCTCAGCCCCAATTAACTTTTCTTCAACTCCTTAATTGAAATAACTTGCAGCAAGATCCACCATACTGGTGATCTTCTTCAGGTTGTTGCATACAGTCTATTAATAGAACTCTCCATGCTGTCTGCTTTCTGTAATAAATGCAGCTTATAATGTACTTATCTGGTTATCTAATGCATGCATATATCATTAAATAAGTGTCACTAGCTGCAATTACTTATGTGGTGGTTTGTGGTGCAAGGTTTTGAAACCCGACCCCACTGGTGATCTAGAAAGTTTGAAATCTTGCAAACAATCCCCTGAAAAATGATGAATCAGTCCCTACAGGTTTGAAATCTAGCAATCACACCCCTGTGACAGTTAAGGCTTTGATTTTTCCGGTCAAATTTTGGCTGATTTCGGTGGCCAAAATTCAATCCGACACCACTGCTTGAACCACCGGCCTCTACTCTACAAAACCCCTTTAACTCCAACATTTGGTAACCCCCTATTCGCTAGTCATGACTCGCATATACTTTTGCGATTAGGTTGATTTTCCTAACCAAATTTCAGCTAATTTCGGTGTCCAAAATTCACTCCAACGCCACCTCTTGAACCACCGGTCTCCACTCTACAAAAGTCTTCTTACCTTGCTACTTGGTAGCCTCTCGTTCGCAGGTAGTCAATTTAGGAATTTTGGTGATAGTTGAATTTTGCAACCCGGCCCAGCGGTGAAGCTCCCGGGTTTGGGTTGAACTAGTTCAACCGGTCAGGCCGGGTTTTAAAACCTTGTTGTGGTTGTTAAAAAGCTCGGAAGTTTTGTGCAGCCAAATGGAAGATAAAAATGAAGAAAATTGAAGATATTTTGTGCTAAAGAATAAAGATTGCGAAAAGTTTTATATCATTACAGTAGAGGTGATAACCGGAATCTTAAAGTCGACCAATTCACTCCAATGACTAAAAATACAAGGCTTTATTCAGCTAAAAAACAAGTTCTGATATGCAATAACTTCCCCTTTGGGAGATGAAATGATCCTGATGGTCAAATATAGTGTGTAATTACTAATTAGTAAATTATTACTAACTCTTTTCTTTTTTCTTTTTCTTTTTTAATTTGTTCATTTGATCAATACACAAGCAGATGAATTTCTTTGAATTCTCTAGCTCAATTCCAACCTCTTTTTCGTTTTGTATCTATCCATAAACTTAAATTAAGTTAATTAAGACTCTAAAAGATCATTGTAGGGAATAGAATCTTCACGAATTATATATTTGATATCATTAATTAAATTTTGATTATAAGATAAATTTTGATCATGTATAATCATCTCACAAGATACATTCAATTTAAGTTCATTGGAATATAATTAATTAGACTAGGATAGAGAGGTAAATTAACTTTACTCTTATACAATGATCTCATAGAACACGTATCATTTAAGTTAATTGGAGTATGTTGAAGGGAGTTATATAAAATGGTCTCACATCACAAGTTAATTAGATTAAAAGGTAAATTCAGGAAATTTTATAGACTCTACTAGACCTGGCAAAATAGGTGGGTATGGTCGGGTTTAATGGGTGCAAGTTCAAAAGAGATTGATTTAACATGGTCTTATATTTTAGACCCGTACCCCACTCTATACAGCTACGAGTGGGTCTACACTCCAATTTTTTCTTTTTTACAGTTATACCCCACAATTTCTACCGACTCTACTACATACAATATCAAATTGTATTTGGGGTAGCCTCCTAAGCAGAGAGATTGTAATTCTCATAAGCTCAAAAAATGGATAAGCAAATTTCTAGAAAAGATGTGAACATGGGCGGTTCTATGCCTATACAGATGCATAATTTGTGGGATTTAACGTTCAGGTTTTTGCTTGGCCATTAATTTTGATAGACTCATTGGAGAATCCTCCCCGGTCCAGAGAAGTCAAAACACCAAATATATTTCAAACACTAACAAACATAGAATTACAATAAAACTTGTGGTACCCAAAATTCCAGTTTAGAGATCAAGTTTGATTCAATCTATCTAATTATTTCTCATGTGCTCTCAACGATATAACCCATGTTCAATAATGGCACTGTATCACTGAAATGGTACTTCATCTGTCTGTATCCTCTTGAGCAATCTTTAGTTGGCAGTTTCATGAAAATCTCTTTCTCACAGTAGCAAGATTCGCCTACAGATGAAATCACGGACAGCAGGATTCAAAGCTGCACTGCCCTCTCACACTGCTGATCAATGTGATGAGAAAGACCCAAAAGAGTCTAGGGATATGTCCAGCTTTTTTAACGGCCTCTGGCTAGCCCTATGCATTGGTGGAGCAATTAGTTCAACTCTCATTTTTTGGATTCAAGATAGGGGATTTGGCCTCTGTACTACAGCTATACTCTTGGCTGTGATAATTTTTGGAGTTGGGTTGCCACTATACCGATTCCAAGTTGTTCAAGGGACTAGTGCTATCAAAGAGATTTTACAGGTTTAAATCTGTAATCATGTTAGTATATACAAACTATCCAACGAAGTAATATGCATTACTTATTATTACTGTTATTTTATTGATGTGTTTATCAGCATTTACTATAAAGAGACTATTATTATTGTGCTTTTGTGGTTAAAGAGATACTGTATACCCCTTATTTATACTATTTTAAAAGTGATCTTAGGTGTGAAATGACTTTCATGCATCACGACACCACTGCGGATAACAATTTTAAATCTTGAGAGAAGATTGCTGTACGCAATCTCAGCCCCAATTAACTTTTCTTCCACTCATTAATTGGGCACAGTTCATAAATAGTACGCTGCATGTTACCTTTAATAAATGCAGCTGATATGTTGTTATCGGGTTATTAAATGCATCATAATGTCATTCTGTTTCTCCAGCTAATCACTTATGCACTTTTACGCGGTGGTTGTAGATTTTGTGCAGTTAAATTGGAGATAAAATGAAGAAAACTATTATGTATGAGAATTTGACGACAATGACAGGATAAATAGTAAAAAATAAGTTTGTAAATTTAGCCATAAATTTTGGATATAAGAAAAATATAATACGGATATATATGAATTTAATATAATATATTATTAATAATATATTTTAAAAAATATGATAATATCAATCTTAATTTTAATATTTTTCATAAACTATCTTACTAAAATTAATATATCATTTTAAATACAAATATTAATTAATCAATAACCATTAGACATAATAATACAACACAATATATAACTGAGATTTATATTATAGTTTCCAGACTCAAACATAATATATAACTGAGATTTATATTATAGTTTCTAGACTCAAACACAATATATAGTTAAGATTTAATTATAGTCTCAAATCAAACGCATAATAAAACCACAATTCAAAGTCGAACTAGAGCTCCAAACAAATAATATAAATAAATAATATAACCAAGATTCAAATTATATTTTATAACAGAAACTTACCTTAGTTAGTAAATACGGGTACAATAAAAAAAGGGTACAGAAATTTTACAAGTATCATTTGATAAATGATGAAAAATACGATTATAAAAATTTGGCAAAAATTCGGATACAGGAATAATTCATGAATAAAACATTTGAGACATATAGTTCGCGAATAATATAACTGGGTTGATAAAATACGTGAATTTATGAATAATACGTAAATTATATGATTGGACATATAATTTGTGTTTTATTGGCAAATTTATTAAATAAGCTATCCGCTCAAAGGTTGAATTACAGTTTTCAATATGACAAAAGTAAAAAAAGGTTTGTGAAATGTTTTTATATCATTATAGTATATGTGATAATTGGAACTTGAACATCAACTATTTCACTCCTCTGACTAGAAATCAATGTTTTTATACCCAAACCGGGCTTTGTTCGACCGGTTGGTTGAACCATTGATGTCATGCTGGCATCAGCATGATATAATAAAATTTAAAAACTTTTCTCCGCTTGGACAGAATGATGAATATTGGCTTGAGGGAACAGGGTTGTTCTTGCCTAGAACGGTTTGGAGGACAAACAAACAACCATTCATTCTCTTAAAACCGGCATCCTGCTTCAAAACGTTCTTTGACTCCGACAATTAAACCGTGGTTCGACTCTGTTCCCACCAGTTCAACCTCAAGTCAATCCGATCCAATGGATAAAACGAGTTTTAGCCATTCAATGAATCAGATTAATGATCGATTTCTGATCGGACTGACCGATCCAATCCAAGTTTTAAAACCATGCTAGAAATACAAGGTTTTATTAAGCTAGACAACAAGTTCTTAAATGTTCTAATTTCCCATTTGTCTGTGGGGCTGACGAAATGATCCGGATGGTCAAATATAGGCCTTATTTCTCATTCGCGTAGGAACTGGGAAGGGCAGAAGCAGATGTCTTCCTTGTGTCGACATTGACTTTAGATATATAAAACTGGGTTTGGTTCAATTAGGAAATAATTGGGGTTAATCAACCAAACGAAAAGTTAATAAAGTCCAAACAAAAAGGAAAAGTAATGTAAAATATTCTTGCACCACGCATATCATATAAGTTAAATAGATAGAGAAGTAAATTTGGACGCACATATAAACTCTACTATACATATATTGTTTTACGTTTAAATTAAAAGCAATAATAGAGAATTCAATCTTACATTACATCACATTGAATCCTAAGCAGAGAGGCTCTAATTCTCCTAAGGATAAGCACAAATCTAGAACAGATGTGAACCTGGGCAGGTCTATCCAGATTCCAGATTTCTGGGATTTGACCTTCAGGTTTTTTCTTGCCCGATAAGGATCCATTGACAGTTGGGGTTACTGATAGGAGATTCAGAATCCTTCTCCCCCCAGACAAAGTCAAAACACCAAATATGTTCAAACACCAACACAAATACAATTACAATGAAAAACTCAAATTTATGATACCCAAAGAGATCAAATTTGATTTGATCCATCTGATTATTTCTCACGTGTTCTAAACGATATGAACTCATGCTCAATAACCAATAGTCAACGCATCTACATCTCTCAGGAATGGCTGGAGCTTACTGTAAAGGCCAGCCAAATAAAGACTTAGTCAAAATCTCATCCGGATATCTGATTAATTTAGAAGCCTTTACCGCATATAGCAGTAATCTTCTCGACAGAATCTCCTCTAAACAATTCCCACTAGCTGCCATTCTTAATAAATACATTGAACAGTGAATTTACCCACATGCTCAAAGTCAAGACAAATTTGAACTGGTATAAAAGAATCACTCAAAATGAGAAAAAAAAACCCCACCTCGTCTATGTATATTAAATTATCCAATTTGATACCAAACTACCAACTAAACACAGTTTTTCTTTTAACTTGTTGGAGAATTCAAGCAAGCCATGTACACAACATGATTTAGTATAATTCTTTCTTGATTCAAGATAGGATATTCCCTTTTCCAAAACGTCAAGTTCTGAACTTTGAACCAATTCTATTTTCCACTTTCGTCTGTCGACATCACATCAGCCCTCTTATTTGGGCAAGAATTAAGATAAGTATCAAAAGCTGTCCTCAAAAATAAAATGGTTAAAGTCAAGGGTTAAAAGCGGACTAAAACACGTGGGAACCGACACTTTAATCTTTTATCAACTACTAATCACGTGTTCAACTAATGAAACGACACCGTTATCCAACTCTGTTAAAAAAAATTTGAACAGTAATGATCATACGTGTGCGGTTCAGATCCGGTGCGCCGTAAACACTCTCGTGTAGGTTAGTCAACTACTTCTTACATTGCGCCGGCTACGCGTATGCCGTAATTAAAAATATTCTATTCGACGCGCTTTAAGCGCGTGGTCTCACCTTATCCCTACATCGTCAACGTCAACCTTACCTACCTGGCTGCCTTATATATCACTGTGAAACTTCAAAACGCATACTAAAAACGTTACTCAAATCGCTGATCATAACGGTTAAATCCTTTTTCTCTTTGAACTCGATCTTAATTAGATTTTAAGCTTTTAAAAGAACAATCTTTGCGTAATTTTGTTAATGAGTATGGAGACGAAGGCGCCGGCGAGGACGACCCTGTTAAAGCAGTCGTCGTTAGCTCCGGATCGGCAGCGGAAGGAGGCGGAGCTGATTGACGGCGAAGACGACGGCGGGAACATCAAGCCGGAGGTGAGTTTGATGTACTTGGCCAATGAGCGTGACTTGGAAGGCATCAACGAGCTCTTAGATTCCGGCATCGATGTAAATTTTCGTGATATTGATGACCGTACGGCTCTCCACGTGGCGGCGTGCCAGGGCTTCACAGAGGTTGTCGAATTGTTGCTCCAACGTGGTGCTGACGTGGACCCCAAAGATCGTTGGGGCAGCTCGGTGAGTGAAGTTTTGACATAATGAGGCTTTACTGTGGTACTGTTTCCGGTAATGTTACCGACTTGACTAATGTTGGTTAAACAGCCCCTTTCAGATGCTATATATTATAAAAACCATGATGTGATTCAACTTTTGGAGAAGCATGGAGCAAAACCTCTGGTATGTTTTAGTTTTAGTTTGACTTAATGGTTTCAAATTGTTATGAGCATAATTTTATACTCTGTTTTAATTTTATCTTTGATTTAATGTGTGTAGATGGCTCCAATGCATGTCAATCACGCCCGTGAAGTTCCGGAGTACGAAATTGATGCTCATGAACTTGATTTTACGAATAGTGTTGATATTACTAAGGTGATTTTTTTCCCCCTTTTGATATGATTTTATTTATATGCCTTTCCGAACTTGTATATGCTTGTTTCTGGTGCTAAGTCATTATTGGAGATATTATTTCTTTCAAAACTGTTATGCCATGAATCATGGGTTGCTTAATGATGCCCAGAAATTATGGAAAAAAGAAAATTGATGAAGTAATTCGTTTGAAAAATGAAATGTAGGAATTTTGGTACTTGCTATAAGTGTTGGAAGATAGCTTATGATTGACTGACTTCTGGAATGCTGCAATTTTATTATTTTTATTCTTGCTTGAAAATACATAAGAATATGCAGCTAGGAATTATTGAAGGGTTATTGTGAAATATGTTGCAGGGGACTTTCCGTATGGCATCATGGCGTGGAATTCAAGTTGCTGTAAAAAGGCTCCCAGAGGAAGTGATTACTGATGAAGATAAAGTGTAGGTTATTCATAAATTAAGAAAGTTCCTTTCTTTTTTGACATGACTCCATCCTCTCAAAGCGGTTGATTTGTTGCAGGAGGGCATTTAGGGATGAGCTTGCATTGCTTCAAAAGATTCGACATCCAAATGTAGTCCAATTTCTGGGTGCTGTAACACAAAGTAGTCCAATGATGATTGTGACAGAATATTTACCTAAGGTCTTTCCTTAACCTTCGATTCATTAGCATATAGTAAAGCTATTTAGAGAATGTATGAAGTCATTGCTTTTTCCTTTTCTGGATCTTTGATGTGTCTTCATTTTAACTTTTTCACTATTAGGCTCTCCTGCTGTTTTACAAATTCTAGTGATTGTTAATGTTGAGAGTGATATTTCCAAATTTTTCTGCTTGAAAACTTATGAGTGAAACATGTCACATGTTGGAGAAACAATGACCAATTTATTGCTGTTGAATTCCTATGTTGCATCTTTACTGCTTTTGCCACTGGATTTAATCCCATTGTATAAAAAGGAAAATTACAGCAGAAACTACTCAATAAAAGTTTGTTTCACAGCTTATCTTGAAGCTTCTTTGTTTTCAAATCTTATTTCCATGTTACAGGGAGATCTTCGTGCATTCTTGAAAAGAAAAGGAGCACTGAAACAATCGATAGCTGTGAGATTCGCACTTGATATTGCAAGGTTGCTACTTTATTATTGCGGTGAACTTTACTCTCACTTTTGGACATGCCTTTTACTGACAATTTTGTATAGAGAATAAGGTTTCGCATGGCCATTAACATCAAGGTCTTATGGTTTTATAGAGTGAAGTATGGCAACAAACTTTTTTGCCAATTTGATGAGATACTAGCATACAGAATTCTTGTACCTCCTGTCAGGCAAATTTTAAGATTTTTGGCTTAAAATCTAGTTTTTAGAGTTGGCTTTCAAATACTTTACTTTTCTGAAGGTAGAGGAACAGGCCTCTCAAATCTATTTAGACAGAGAAAGAATGCCGTCCAACTACTTATGTGTGTTTCAAGCTTATATTTGATAGATATAGTCTAACTTGCCAAAATGTTTCAGTTTTCAAAATTTAACCCTTGGTGTACAGATTCTCTAACTCAATGATTCTAGAGAAATTTTAGAACTTGATAATCTCATCTTTGCTTCATCATTTGAAGGGGACAAGCAATGGTAGTACGTAAGTTTAAACCCTTATTATAAAATTTTAGATGGTGCTGAAAGGAATGTCAAAGAGCATAACTTTAAGATACAGATGCAGAAAAGAACTGTGGCTTAAAATAATGCATTCATTTATCTAATATCCTTTATTTTCTGTGAATTGCTTGACTCCTGGAGTTATCTGGAAAATTATTTCATTCTTTGGAGTTTAGCTGAAACATTATCATGTCTATCAAATTTGCAGGGGAATGAATTATTTGCATGAGAATAAACCAGCACCAATTATTCACCGTGATCTTGAACCTTCGTGAGTTCTTTTTCAACATGATATTGTCTTTCCTAGGTAAAATATTTGTCTGCCTCAGTTTTCTGATGTTAGCTCCTTTCTTTGTTGCTTACTGGGAAGCTACCAGAAATATATTGCGGGATGATTCTGGACATCTGAAAGTTGCAGACTTTGGAGTTAGCAAGTTGCTTACAGTCAAAGAAGATAGACCCCTAATTTGTGAAGACGCTTCGTGTTAGTGCCGCTTCTTTTCATGATCTTCCTATACTCATTTCATTTGAAATTCATTGCTAAACTGTCATTTCTTTCCAGTACCATTATGTAGAGTTACTTTCTCTTCATTGATTAAAATTGATCTGTAGTTTATCATATTAGCTGAAGTTAAAATTGTAGGTTTTAGATTGTAAGTGAAATATTATTTGTCATCAACAGGTCGGTACGTGGCTCCAGAGGTTTTCAGAAATGAAGAGTATGATACCAAAGTAGATGTATTCTCATTTGCTTTAATTTTACAGGAGGTAAATTCTATTATTCTTTACCAGTGGACTTAAACAATGCAGAAAGAGTTGACTGTTTGTTTGATAGGTATCATTATCTTCATATGCAAATTAATGTCTTTGGAATTGAGGCTAACATCATCACTCAGTTGTTTTAAATAATTAGTTCTAAATTCTAATAATATTTCCCCCACAAATTGATTAATTAATTTCACCTGACATTTCTTCCTTTCCATTCCATATTATATTTGTACAGTATTAAGTTAGAAGTTTGTAAAAGGCTTACTGGTTGTGATTAGAAACTTTTAGCCACTTAAAGGTTCCTTTGCCTTCTATAAAATTCTTTTATTTATTTATAGTTTTCTTTTGGATGAAGGTAGAAGCAGCTGTTTTAAGGTTCTGAGCCTTATGGCTTATGTTTTTGCTCATGATGATTCCATTTAGAATAATTCATGTTTTTGTTATGCTGTATCAGATGATTGAAGGTTACCCGCCGTTTTGCATGAAGCAAGATGATGAAGTACCTAAAGCATATGTTGCTAGAGAGCGTCCACCTTTTAAAGCTCCTGCAAAGCGTTATGCACATGGACTTAAAGAGTAAGTTCTACATATATTGTTAGATGCACATTCTAAGTTGTACTTAATACTTTTATGATAAATAACATGGCTATGTTCTAGCTTATTTTTTCAACTTTCTATAGAGAACATTTTTTTTTTTTTTTTTTTGGTTTTATAGATCTGCATTTTGTTATTCATATTATCTGTCATAAAAAAGATTTTGAAATGAAATTTTTTTTATGCTAGTTGAAAACTTCATTCTTGTTTTCTAGTCTATGGTTTAAGAATCTAAAAACCTTATTTCTTAGTTTAGTGTAGATGTGTACGTTGACCTAACTATTTAGAATGGTGAACAGTCAGACACAATTAACAAAAACTGTGTTTCTCTTCTTATTCTGCATTATTTGAAAGAAGTTGAGGCAAAATGTAGAAGTAGACTTCACTTACAAGATCGTTTATCATGATTATGAATAGGAGATTGAGCTGAAATTAATAGCCTAAATCTTCATAAGTAAAAGAAAGAAAAAAGTTACGTTTAGATCCACAAGGACTTTGAAACCATGCCAAAAGGAAAAAGGAACAGATGTAAAGCATGGACATAATTTATATTTCTTATTTTCTGCTGGAAATCATGGACTCATAAACTTAATAATGCAGAATTATTTTTCGCTTTTTTTTCTGGTTCATGAATGCTTTCTTTGCTCTCTCATACAGTGTCGGACATCATAAATGTAATTTATATTTCAGGAGGTATGAGATTATATAGAGTTAAATATCTAACTTATCCTAAAGATAAACATGTGCCAGGCAATGCTCGGACGCCCTTAGCTTTTTGATAAATATGGTGATGTCATCTGTACAAAAATCTGTGCTCTCTGTATATCCTTATCTATTTAAATTTCCTGGAATGCAAATTCTTTGTGGTTTCATAACCAAATTTTATTTTTATTTTTATCTTTTTTTTTTTTTTTTTTTTTTTTTTNTAGATCCTTCTTTAAATAACCATGCGCAGTAGGTGCAAGTAGCCTTTGTAGAAATACATGATAATCATGGCTTTTCATACCTGATATTTTACACTCATTAACATTTACACATCGCGATAGATTTGACGCATACCCATCAGGTAATTTAATTGATTTTAACCATTCAGAAAATTCTTTCTTTTCAGCTAATGACAAAGTGTAGCTTGCAGAAGGCATCAAATTTTTTTCCCCATTTTGTATTAAATGCAACTCCTTCCTTATGCCCATGGCTTCCAAATCCATACGAGCTTTGAAATTATCTTTGGTTTTTCCTTCCATGTTCATCATCGTCCCCAAAATATTTTCACCTATATTTTTTTCTATGTGCATTACATCCAAATTGTGGCGCAATTTCAATGTTTTCCAGTAAGGCAATTTTAAAAATATACTTTTCTTTGTCCAATTCAACTCTTGTTTTGTGCGTTTACGTTTCCTTGTATCAGAAGATTTCCCAAATTTCACATCTGGAATACTAGCCAATTGTCTTAATATATCATCTCCTGATAACTCTTTAGGTTTTGACAGAAACTCTACCTTACCGTCAAACTTTTTACTTTTTCTCCACGGATGTTGTTTATCCAAGTATCTACGATGACCCATGTAACATTGTTTATTCCCATTCTTCAAAGTAAAAGAGCATGTCCACTTATTACAAATTGGACAAGCTAATTTTCCCTTTGTACTCCAGCCAGATAACATTCTAGCTAGAATCTTCTCTGTACTTCAACTTCCATAACTTCTTCAATTTAACTCCAATTCTTGATCCGTTTGTTTCCACTCGTCACTCATTCCGTTGCCAACATGATTCTTCATCCGAGTATAACATTTAAGCACTAGTAGCCTAAAAAACACTCAAAAACACCCATGATCCCATAAAAGGCAATTATGAAAATATTAAGCAACTTTACCAAATTAAGCCTAATTTCCCACAATTAATCCCCATAAACCACTAACTAAGTGTGTATTTTCAAGCTCTTATCATCTACATCATGTCTTTGTTTTTGCCATCTTTGATTTGTAATTTTAAATTATTAATACTTGATGTACATTAAAATTATATGAAGTCAAATTAGTCAATTACAAAAAATATAACTTCAATTCAAGTTAAAAAAAAAAAAAAAAAACAAACCTGGAAAAAAAAGGGGCCAAAGTGGAGGGTTTGACCGAATTGGGCCGAACAAATCCAACCCATCTTAATTAACCGGTTAACCGAACCGAATTTTTGGTTCGGTTATAAACCGGTTTATAACCAAAACAGGACCGGTTTCGGTTCATTTTTTTTTTTAAAACCGAAAACTGGTTCGGTTCAAGATATGGATAAACTTTTTCGGTTAACTGGTTTCTTTCACCCCTATTCCCTGATCATCACTCACAAAAACCCCTCAAGCCTTACTCTCGTCGACCTTGTCAATCGTCAGCAATTGAGCGATTAACATTTGCACAGCTATCGCTTCAAAGTCAAATTCTAATCAATCGCAACTACCAAAATTCAACTTTCCACCACCAAAAGGCTCATGGCCTCCCCTAGGGCTGTACAAAAAAATCCAATATCCGATCCTGATCCAGTCCGCTCCGATTCGAAAAAATCGGATATCCAAAAATTCGGATCGGATACGGATCGTATTTAAAAAAATCTGAATGTTCGGATCGGATACCGGATCGGGATTGTTAAAAAATCGGATATCCGTATCCGTATCCGATTCGGATTTTACTAAACTACGTCGTTTTGAGTTTTAAAATAACCCTAACAGTCTAACACAATTAACTCAACTCTCTCACTCTCAGTCTCTCTCGCTCGAACACGGACAGACACATAGTCACTCAAACTCTCTTAGACCAGATCTCATCTCAGTCTCTCAGTCTCTCTCGCTCAACTCTCTCAGTCTCTCTCGCTCAACTCTCTCGGTCTCTCTTGCTCTAACACGCACAGACACAGACACACAGTCAGTCAACCACTCAAACTCCCTCAGATTCAGATCTTGGTCTCTCTCGCTCAACTCTCTTGGTCTCTCTCGCTCGAACACGCACAGCGGCACAGACACAGATACACAGTCACTCAAACTCTCTCAGACTCAGATCTCAGTCTCTCTCGCTCAACTCTCTCAGTCTCTCTTGTCGAACACTCTCAGATCTCAGTCTCTCTCGCTCAACTCTCTCAGATCTCAGTCTCTCTGACGATTGACGCCCCAAATCGATCATAAGTAAATTTCTTTAGAATTTAGATTTGCTGAATTTTATAGGCTGAATTTTAATTGCAGACTTTATGTCTGTGCTAAATGTTTACATTTAGTACTTAGAAAGCAAATTGTTTTGGTGGGTTATTTTTCATAGACACTTATATAAGGCACGCCATGTGTTTGATTAAATGTTCCAATCAATTCAGTTTATCAACTTTTTCGTGTTGTGTATTACCTGTTTGACAAAATGTCCCAACAAACAATGGGACTTCACATGTTTGGCTGAATCAGAAATTTCAATAAAAAATTCAGAAGTATGAATCGCTACTCATTTCTTAACAATTTATACCCATTTCCGCATTTGATATAGGTAGCGGGATAATTGAGAAGTTGGAATTTAATGGAGGAGCCAACATTTTTCAATAGAATGATCACTCATCTTCGCACAACCTGCAAGTATGAACAGTACTTTATTTCGTATGTTTTGTTTTTTTTTTTAGTGCTATTAAAGTATCCTTTTATGTGAAATATTTCCATTTTTTTTAGTTGAATAATGTACCAGATTAGTTGAGTTTTCATAAGTATATAGCAGGGAAGTTCTTTTCTTTATTTTTGATAAAATGTTTGAGTAGGAAAATGACATGCCTGAATAACAGTGAAATTATGCTATAAAATTCCTTAGCAATTAATTTTGTTGTTAATCTTAAAAATTGTTTATTGAAATTGTTTATTTGTTTGTTTTGTACATGAGGATGATGACGAGTAGGAATGGCAATGAAGATAGCATAGTCATTTAGGCTGTGACAGTGTTTGGACAACATAGGTTAATGTTTTGTGCTTCATGTTAATTTTTTTTTGATACTTTTATCATGTAAGAGAATTTAATTTCAATTTTATTGCTAGAATTATTTGATTTTAATAAGAAAATTTTAAAATTCGGATCAATTTCAGATATCCGATTATCTGATCTAAATAATCGGATATCCGTAAAACCGGATATCTACGTAATTCGCGATCGGATTCGGATCAGGATATAGCCTGATTCGAAAATTCGGATCGGATCAGGAAAAGCCCTATTCGGATCGGATATGGATTGGACAGCCCTAGCCTCCCCTCTTCAAAAGCCCAACAACCCAGACAATTCACTCTCTGTTCGTCACCGAAATATTAATTTGAGTAGTTAAGTGGTATTTTAAAAGTTTGTCAATTAAAAAGTGTCATTAAGTAATTATTGGGTGGGAAAAAGTCGTTAACTTGTATATAAATATACATATTTAATATTATTCAGCATTCTTTTAAAGTTACATATTTTATGATATAATTTAATTCTTTTGCAAAAAAAAAGAGAAAAACTGTTGAATAATAAAAACACTATCGAAACTAAAAGTTATAATATAGAAGAGGAAATTAGATTCTGAATGAAATATTATTATCTGTTCTCACAATTAGGAGATTCCAATGTGTTTTAGTGAAGGACATGAGTTTATACTTTACTTGAACCCATCCTCATTCATCCCGATGGTTGATTCCAAAATAAATACACAAGGCATTCACACGTGTGAATTGTGCCATAGAATGACACATGTAATAACACTAATCCTTCACATATAAATGCTGATTTATTTAAATAAAAAGTATAATTTCAATTTTATTTGAGTACCAAATAAAAATAGGATCTTCATAAATGCTGCACATAGCTTCTAGAGAGCTTTAAACAAAACCAAAACAAGCATCCGGCATGGTTAAAACTTGAAAACACCAGTACTGAAACTAAATTTAGTAATTAATAGATAAACTAAACTTTGCATCATCAAAATTAAAGTACCAAAGTTTTAATGAATAATAAAGGTTAGTTAATGAATTATCACTTCACTGATAAAATGACCATTG